CGTCAGCCCCGCATGCGCCCTCGCACGCCTGCATTGCGGCCGCGAGCCCTCCGCCCGCTGCATCCAGCAGCCACAGCTAGCTGCAGCCCAATTGCTGTGGATCCAGCCGACCATGGTCGCGACCTGCTGCGAGGGTTGGGACTCACTGGCGCAGCCACAAAAGCGCATCTGAATTGCACAACTATCGGATGCATCGCGCACAATTTCAAAATCAGCAGCATGGGCCTGGCAGCTCTCAACTTTGCTTTTTGCATGCAAGCAAGTGCATTGTTGACGGGACGCAGCTAACGCAGCGCCTGCCCGCCGAGACTTGTTTGCAGCCGCTCATAGGGAGTTACAGCATTGGCTGGATCAGCTGCGGCGTTAGCAACGGCTGAACGTAAGCGGCAACGGCAGCAGTAGCAGCAGTAGCGTGGGGCAAACCAGCACACACTAGGGATTTATGTGCACGCCTGCTTCGGATGGCGCAGACAGCCGTCATCTGAACCTCGGTCACAGAATACTGTATTGATGTTGAAAGTCTGATCTCATAAGCCTCAATGGCTCCAGAAGCAGGCAACCGCAGGATCCCCTGCAGCAATCTATCCTACTCCAAATCTAAGACAAAAACCCTTTGTGCCTATGCTACCCGCACATGGCGCCGCAGACGATGCCAGCTGCAAGGGCGCAATCGCCCCTGACCCTCCAGCCGGCATGCACATGCAGCCGGCGAGCGTGTTGCACTACTATGCGTCATCACCGCTGAGGACTGATGTACAGAACCCTGTCATGATCAATGACCACACACATGGCGAGAAAAACCGGGCGCTCGGCATCCGCGCCGCGAACTTGACAAACGCAGGACGAGCAGAGCAGCCTACGGCGCCGCCGCGCACCGCCGCCGCTTCGCGGGCCGGCCGGCCCCCGCCTGGCGGCGCGCCTCGGCGGCGATGGCCACGAACAGGGCCCGCAGCTCCGCGCGCTCCGCCTCCCGCGCCGCCTCCGCCGCCTCCCTCTCCGCGACCAGCTGCGCCACCCGGCCCCGCTGCCACTGCGCGAAGGCGGCCCACTGCTCGGCGCTGCCGGTGGCCGCGGCCGCGCCCTCTGCTATCAGCAGCTCCGCCGCCGCGTGCTGGCCTTCTCTGAGCGCGATGCGCACCGCCTTGCCACCGTCCGCGGCCACTGTGGCCCGGCATCCCCCCTCCAGCAGCACCCGCAGCGTCGCCACCTGGCCCTTGACCACGGCGTAATGAAGTGGCGTTGCGCCAGACCCGTCGACCGCCTGCTTGTCAGCGCCGCTCTCCAACAGGACCTGCAGCGCCGCCACCTGGCCTTCCACCGCAGCGTAATGCAGCGGCGTTAAGCCAGCCTCATCGGCAGCCTCCTTATCGGCGCTGCGCTCGAGCAGCGCCCGCAGCACTGCCACGTCACCATTCAGCGCGGCGTAATGAAGCGCCCTCCGGCCGGACCCACCGGCAGCCTCCTTGTCAGCGCCCCTGTCCAACAGAACCTGCAGCGCTGCCACCTGACCCTTTAGCGTGGCGTGATGAAGCGGTGTTCCGCCAGAGGCGTCGACCGCCTCCTTGTCAGCGCCGCTGTCCAACAGAAGCTGCAGCGCTGCCACATGGCCGTTTGCCGCCGCGAAGTGGAGCGGCGTGTAGCCACTCTCCTCGTCGACGGCATCTTTGTCGGCGCCGCCATCCAGCAGCGCCTGCAGCGCTGCCACCCAGCCCTTCAAGGCGGCATAGTGGATCGGCCTCGCGCTGGACCCATCGGCGGCCTCCTTGTCGGCGCCGCGCCGCAGCAGCGCCCGCAGCGCTGCCACCTGACCGCTCATCACAGCGAGATGGAGCGGCCTCTGGCCGTTGTGGTCTGCCGCCTCCTTGTCAGCGCCGCGCTTCAGCAGCGTGGTCAGCACTCCCACCTGGCCCTTCATCGCCGCCCAATGAAGTGGCCTCCAGCCGTCCCGGCCGGCAGCCTCCTTGTCGGCGCCGCTGTCCAGCAGCACCCGCAGCGCTGCCGCCTGGCCCTTCATCGCGGCATAATGGAGCGGCGTCCGGCCCTGCCCATCGGCGGCGTCTTTGTCGGCCCCGCGCTTCAGCAATGCCTGCAGCGCTGCCACCCGGCCCTTCTCTGCTGCGCGATGAAGCGAAGTCATGAGGTGGGCTCTTGCGGCAGAATCGCCATCCCAGCTGCCACTGCGCGGGCGGTGGCGATGGTGCACGGCAAGGCGCAAGCGGCCATGGGTGATCGCGTGCGCGTCGCGGCACCTCACATGCGTCCCAAGATTCGCGAGTTCTCCTGTACATGTGTACAACGTGCAGCATCAACTCAACTGGTGACTCCACGAACGGCCACCGCAAGCGCACCAATATCTGTGACCGTAGTACAAGAGACACGACAAGATAAGGGTCTACTTATTTGAGGGGTAACAGCTGCTCGTACAGGGGAATGGTATGCAGGCAGCTTCGCATACGGGCCGCCTGCGCGCTCAGCTCGAGCTGGCTGGCGCACTCTTCAAGCAACTTGAACTGCGGCTGGGCCCCAACGTCTGCGGGCACAGGAAGGCGGAAGAGGCAAGTGGCAAGAAGCGTCATGGCTAGCAACCATGACTTGAATGTATACAGTTGCGAGCATCCAGGGATTGGGAAAGCCTGCTTGAGCACGGCGCTGTTTGCAGACCGGAAAGCTCTGGCTGTGGGCCCGCGTTGAGGGGTGTGCAGCGCTGGCGGTGCGGCGAGGCGGTGCGCGCACCATCAGCAGCCGCCGCCGCGGGGAGCGAAGGGGCATTCGTCAACCCATCAGGCGCGCCTGCGTACTGCTCGCCGCACAGGCGCGCCACGGCCCCGCACGCGCGGAAGCCACGGCCCCGGAGTATTGCAGAGCTATAGGATGCATTGCGTACAATTTCATGATCAGCAGCATGGGCATGGCAGCTTTGAACTTCGCTTTGTGCATGCGAGCACATGCATTGTGGACGGGGCGCAGCTTATACAGCGCCTGCCCGTTGAGATGTGTTTGCAGCCGCTCACAGGGAGTTACACCAGCATCAGCTGCAGCAACTGTGATGTTAGCACCGGCTGAACGTCAGCGGCAACAGCAGCAGTTGCAGCAGTGGCATTGGGCAAACCAGCACTCACCAAGGATTTTCGTACACACCTGCTTCGGACGACGCAGACAGCAGTCACCCAAACCTCGGTCACATAATATTGATGCTAAAAGTCTGATCTCATGAGCCTAATTGGCTCCAGAAGCAGGCGACCGCCGGATGCCGCAGCAATCTTAATCCTACTGCTAATCCAAGACGAGAATCCTTGGTCCCTTTGCTAGCCGCACACGGCGGCGCCGCCGACGATGCCAGCTACAAGGGCGCAATCGTCCCTCACCCTCAAGCCGCCATGCATATGCAGCCGTTGAGCGTATGGGTTGCACTATGCGGCATCACTGCTGAGAACTGATGTATGTGACCCTGTGATGATAAATGACCAAATGGCAAGGATTAGGATTAGGATTAGGATTGTTACAAGATCCCGCGGTCGCCCGCTCCTGGAGCCATCCAGGCTCCAGGGATATGACTTGGTAGCATCAGCATTGTGTGACAGGGATTCAGGGGACCACTGTTCGCCGTTCAAAGCAGGCGTGCACAAAGGCCCCAAGGGTATGCTGGTCTGCACTGCGCACAAGGGCGCGCATGGCAAGAAAATTCGGGCGCTCCGCACCCGCGCCCCGAACGTGATAAACGCTGGACGAGCAGAGCAGCCTACGGCGCCGCCGCACGCCGCTGCCTCTTTGTGGAGCGGCTGGACCCCGCCTGGCGGCGCGCCTCAGCGGCGATGGCCACAAACAGGGCGCGCAGCTCCGCGCGCTCCGCCTCCCGCGCCGCCTCCGCCGCCTCCCTCTCCGCGACCAGCTGCGCCACCCGGCCCCGCTGCCACTGCGCAAAGGCGGTCCACTGCTCGGCGCTGCCATCGCCCGTGGCCGCGCCCTCTGCTATCAGCAGCTCTGCCGCGGCGTGCTGGCCGTGGAGAAGCGCAACGCCCACCGCCCTGCCGCCATCCACGGCCACGGCGGCCCGGCACCCCGCCTCCAGCAGCACCCGCAGCGTGGCCACCTGGCCCCTCATCGCGGCGTAATGAAGTGGCGTTGCGCCAGACCCGTCGTCGGCGGCTTCTTTGTCAGCGCCGCTCTCCAACAGGACCTGCAGCGCTCCCACCTGGCCTTCCACCGCAGCGCAATGCAACGGCGTTAAGCCAGATTGGTTGACCGCGTCCTTGTCAGCGCCTCTTTCCAACAGAACCCGCAGCGCTACCACCTGGCCACGCGCCGCTGCAAGATGGAGCGGCTTAAAGCCACTCGCCTCGTTGGCCGCGTCCTTGTCGGCGCCGCTGTCCAGAAGCGCCTGCAGCGCCTCCACGCAGCCGTACAACGCGGCGTAATGGAGCGGCCTTTGGCCTTTCTCGTCCGCCGCCTCCTTGTCAGCGCCGCTGTCCAGCAGCGCCTGCAGCGCTGCC